GGGCGCCAAGACGGCCCAAGAGGCGCCCAAGACGGCCCCAAGAGGGGGACCACGAACCCGAAAGTCTAGCCTTTCGCCCCAAGACGCTCCCAGGAGGCCCCCACAGACCCCCAAGAAGCCCCAAGAGGCCCCCAAGAGGCCCCCAAGAGGCCACCAGGAGGGCCCGAAATGGGCCCCAATAGGACTCCCACGAAGGCCCAGAGACGCCCAGAGCGATCGGTAACGCAAAAAGCTCTTTACACCAAGGCTTCCAAGAGCGAACGGTGACGTCAAAATGCTGATAAGACCAAGGCTCCCAGCAGAGAGCGGTGACGTAACAAGTTCCTGACACCGAGGCCCAGCCAAAGCTCAGGAAAGGGCGGCAACGCAACCATCTGTGAACACCAAGGCTCCCAAGAGCGAAGGGTGACGTAACCAGCTCTCAACGCCAAGGCTCCCGGTACGAACGGTGGTGTGAGTCATTTCGGTTTCTGTTGCTGCAGCGCTCTTTCCGTTTCTGTGCCAGGCCAGGTCCAATGGCCGTGGTTGCTGTCTGCGGAGTCGGGCGGGCGCGTCGTCGGTCGTCGCAGTCGTCGAGCATCGTCGTCGTCGCCGCCACCGTGGTGGTCGGTCGGTCGGTCGGCTGGTCGTCATCGTCATCCTCGTCGTACTCGGTCGTCGGTCACCGGTCGTCGTCGTCGTCGACGTCAATGGTCGTGGTCGTCGTCGTTCGCCAGCGCCAACGGTGAAGCGCGGGGGGCAGAAGGGGGGCCCCAGGCGTCTACACCATCCACTTGCACCACGGGGGTTGCCCTCGACTTCCTACCCCCCCCCTGCACCTGGGGCAGTGGGGGAGGTGTCCAAGCCCCCCCAAGCCCCCCGCCGAGCGCCAGCGAAACAACAACCTGCTCAAGGTGGCCGATAACGGTGCCCCCAAGACGGCCCGACGGCCCCCAGCCAAGGCGGCCAAGACGCCCCGAGAGAACGGCTCCAGGTGGGTCCCCAGACGGCCCGCGGATGGTTCTGCTGAGCCTCTTCCAGACAATTCGGCAGGAACTTGTCTCCAACGATGGCCCAATGGAGCCTCAAGGAGGGAGAAGGGGAGGGGGGGGGGAGGAGGAGGAGGAGGAGGAGGAGAAGGAGGAGGAGGAGGAGGAGGAGGAGGAGGAGGAGGAGGAGGAGGACTTAAGGGGGCCGCGTAGAACCGTGGTTCTGCCGACCCGGGGGCCAGCGAGGGCCCCGCACGACCGCAGTTCCAGAGGGCCTTTTCCGGAGGGCTTAGTACAACCATCCTGCATGTGTTGTGATGCTGCGCTGGCAAGGACGCGGGGTTTCCTGCAGGCAGCTGGATCGAAGATTAGAAATAGCGCAATGCGCGCCGATCAAAGCCGCTTCGAGCGCCAGTCAGAATGGCCTGAGCCAAAACAGCTACGGTATGGTCGTGGTCCCTTTCAGGGGTGGCCTGATGCAGAGGCTGAAAATACTAACCAGAAACAAATTGAATCGGTGGCCTGAAGGGCTGTACCCTGTAAGAAAAGCTGTTGCGGTCAAGTGGCTGTTGTGAAAGCCAACGTTCATTGACACAAATAACTTGCACTTCGTACAACCTATGGCCGATTGGTATTCACCAGCTGGCGAAGGAGGAACGACTTACATAGCACAAGAAGACTCAGGCTGGGTTGGGCGTCAGTGGAGATTGCCTTCCCGGTTGCTTCCGTCCACCTGGTCTAAGGAGAAATCCATAAAATGTTCTATATATTGAAGCCAACCCATATACTAAGGATGCGCGATAAGGATGCAAGGGCCTTGGAGGCCCATGTCAACGTTTTTCGAACAAGACTGGCCAGCGAGAGTCGCTAAGGATGGGCCGAAGGGGCAAGGATGCAAGGGTAGCCTTGGGAAGGTTGCCCATCCTTACTATGCGGGTCGAAAGTACGAGAGAATGCAACTTGACTGGCACCACTAGACTGCCCAGGAGGCCGCGCCCGTAGAGGACCCTTCCGGCGGGCTTCCCAAGAGGCCACCCCCGTCGCCTATCATCCCAGCTGCGACATTGCGTTCTCTGACTCACTTCTGGGGTCAACTCGCTGCACCTCCCCATCTAAGAATACAGGAGACACAGTTGGAACCAGTGTACACAGAAAGATACAAAGGAGGAGCGAGAGAGCAATGCCTGAAATTAGATTCATCTTCTGACCAACGATACTGCTAATACACTACGAGTATTTGAGGTCACGTCGCGACATGATCTCAAGGGAAATCGGCACAGACACAGCAAAAACTGCATACATTGGTTTCCAAGTAGATTTGCTGCATGATCAGACATGGATGCTGGAAGTCTGCTATAGTTGGGAGCACACCACGGCTAGTATGCTGAGCAGGGGAAACCGATGCTAAAGTTGTGCCAAAAGACTGCTCCTTCTTGTTGCTGACGGGGATGTGTAAGAGTATCTGCTGACATCGACCAGTGTACTGGAGCGACACAGCGGAGCTTCGAAAGATAATGTTACTTGGAACCAGTGCAGAGAGATCGGTTCGTTGAAGTACAAGCGGGACTGTTTGTATCGTCCAGACAGCTGGAGTTGAGAGCAACATTGAGAACGCAATATTGAAATCGCAACACAAGAACGCAAGGTCGATTGCCAACGAGCGCAGCGCGCTCCAATTCCAATGAGACAAAGCTGGCGCTCTTGCCTCGAATCTTGTTTGCACAACGCCGCATCAGCGGTTTCCTTGTGCTGCGCGCCTCTACTGTCTGCCTGAGGGTGATGGCACAGGGGGGGGGGGGGGGAACATCGACCTGGAATCGCTGATACATCGCCGATAATTCGGTGAGAGGCCCCCGATAAGCAATCCGCACGGTCCTGGACGGGACTGGCTATCGGGACCCAATCGGCGATCCTTGGGCGATTGGGGGTGGAGACGTTCCCACCTGAGCCTATCCCCCCCCTTGCGTTGCCCCTGACCCTCCGCTCCCTGGCTTTCGGGCCGTATCCTCAGTCTCTGGCAGCCGCTCGGGACGATCCAGACAAGGCGCACATGATGGAAACCACCCCGGGCACAGAAAACTTCCGACACACTTCCAACACCTTCCCCCCCTGAGTGTACCCCCCTGAAGAGCACGGCCTCATCGCGGAGAGCCAGGAAGGAACTGCTCCGAGCTCGTACCTCGTCCCCTGCAGAGAGCACTCCTGTTTGCCTCCCCACTGAGCCTATCCCCGTCCACGATGGTTTTCGAGACACAACTCGGGCCTCCTGGGGCCGCTTCGGGACGATCCGGGCACGGCCAGAAAGCTCTCGGCAAGGCGCAGCTGCTGGAGTGTATCCTGAGGCTGAACATCTGTGCAAAACCTACCAAAACGTCGGATTTGTTTTGTTTCAACCTACTCTAGCCTTGATCACAAGAAACATGTATGAAGCTGAGGGTTTTCACGTGTCGGGCCCTGGGAGGCGATGCTCTTTCGACACTTCGCCAGCGTGCCGGGCAGACACTGTTTCGACAGCTTTCCGGGTGCTGGGCTATGGTGCTCGAGCACTCCTTCCCGGCAGGGACCGACCAGGCATTCCTATATTCCTACCACAGAATGTTCTTAGAACCCAAAAATGATCTAAGAACAAAAACCATGTTCTTAGAACATAAGCCCGATGTGATATAACAAGACAGAAACCGCCAGAAATGTTCTAAGAACATTTCGTGGAACCCACGAAAGGCTCCTAGAACATTGTTTGGCAGGGCTATTAGGCGAGCCAGGACGCTTCGCCACTGCTTGAGTAGTAGCATGACCGAAAACCTCAGACTGCTCACCGTCGTCGCCCTGGACCACCGCCCGCCGTCGGCCCCCCCCCAGACGTGCGACGCCGCGATTCTTCGGCACTCGAAATCACATCATAACCCCCTTGAAAAGCCGGACGGGGGGCACTCGTGTTCCAGACCCCTCTCGCCTTCGGCTCAAGGAGAGGCGCCCTAGAAACCGGACCCCCCCCCGCTTCCAAAAAAGGCGCCTCGTAAAATTGGACCTGGGGGGCGAATATCCAGGAATTTCGAGTCCAGGGCCCCCAGAAGCATGGACCCTCTCCCAGGGGGCAGGCTGCTCATCCCGAGCCCTTTCCTTGACGGCCCCGGCGCCGCGGCGAGGGCCCCATATGGAGGCCGACAGCGGCCCAGAGAGCTCCCGTCGTGACTCCTGCACGGCGCGGGCATGTCTGGGGGAATCAATGGTACCGCCTCCTCCTCCTCCTCCTCCTCCTCCTCCTCCTCCTCCTCCTCCACCGCCTTCTCGTCCTCCTCCTCCTCCTCCTCCTCCTCCTCCTCCTCCTCCTCCTCCTCCTCCTCCTCCTGCTTCTGCGTGCCCTCCTCTGGCCCCTCCGTGCCCCGTCGCTGGGACGTCCCCGCGGCGCAAGTGCAGAACCGCGGGAGAGACCAAAGGAAACCAACACAGCTACTCCCCGGCCTCTCCCAGGGTGAGCCCTGACCAGAACTTCGAGGCGGACCCAGCGGTGGCGACGCGGGCTTCCTGGGAGGCCGAAAAAGGAGAAAGCTGTCGAAGGGTAGATGGGAGCCTCCCACACCATCTCGTCGGCTCTCGCAAATCGACTCTCATCGAGGCAAATCGACGCACTTTGACGCTGAATCGGCGGTATTTCATCGATTACCAAGCGCTGATCGATGCTAGTGCACCCTGAAGACAAAAGTTACGAAGGTATATAAGGCTCCCATGAGTTGATACTGAAGTATCGGTACCTTCTCATGAGGCAAATCCTGCAGGCCTCGCGCGGCAACTTGAGGCTCGATTTACGTCGGATCCACGTCGGATTTACGTCGGGGTCACGTCGGACTTCGTCGGAATTACGTCGGATTTACATCGGATTTGCGTCGGACTGACGCCGGAGCATCGCCGCGCGAGCGTCGACCCATAGCTTACGGAGCTGATGTGTGTGGAGCAGACATAGAAAAGTACAACTATGACGCGCCGCGCGAGGCCTCCAGGATGTTCCTCCTCATTTCTCCTCCTCTGAATGTCCAGGCCCCTGACGCTGCCTCCGAATCCAGGGAGGCTCCCCCTTTTCTCTGCGCCGCTGGGCCGCTGGCCCTCCGCGCCGGGCGCCGGCGACCCCGCGGCGCCGCCATGGGGCGGCACGCCCTCCGAGTGGCCGGGGCGGCCCTGGCGGCGGGCGAACGGGGCGCTTCACGGGGTAGGAGGAGGGAGGAGAGAGGAGGGAGGGCGAGGGAGGAGGATGGAGGATGGGGAGGGAGGAGGGAGGGGGGAGGAGGGAAGGAGGGCGGAGGAGGGCGGAGGAAAGAGGAGGAGGAGGAGGAGGAGGAGAGGAGGAGGAGGGAGGAGGGAGGAGGGAGGAGGGGGAGGAGGGAGGAGGGAGGACGGAGACGGAGGAAGGAGGAGGGGGATGAGGAGGAAAAGGAGAATGAGGGGGAGGAGGAGGAAGAGGAGGGGGAGGATGAGGAGCAGGAGGAGGAGGAGGGGAAGGAGGAGGAGAAGGAGGAGGAGGTCCCTCAGCACCTCATTTCCTTGACCTCCTCCTCCTCCTCCTCCTCCTCCTCCTCTTCCTCCTCCTGGGGGTTCGGGGGGCCAGCGGATGCCCCAGGGCGGCGCCGCGGTGCGCTGAGGCACCGAGGCGCGCACGCCATCGCGCGCTAGCAGCTGGCGCCTGTTTTTCGGATGTGCATACGGGGTCCCCGAGCGGCCTGGCCTGTTCACCACACGCCCGCTATGCTTTCCAGTCGGGGTCCTTTTCGACCGCGCCAGGGACGAGGGAGGAGGGAGGAATCGGAATCGGAATCGAGCTCTGGGGGCACTAGGTTCGTCTGACCGTGTGAGTTGCCTGGGCAATTCCTGGTGTAAATCCACCAGTTTATAACATCAGATCAAAAAACCTGTCTTCGCCCTGAGGACCTGTCAAGGAACTTCTGGGTGGCCGCTTGTGCAGACAGGAGCACTGCACTGGCGGTCTGAGGCAGCCTCGTTTGCCGACTGGGCTGAGGAGCCTCCCCGCACCACCAAAACCACGAGAGTTTCTAAAGCAAGAGGGCGAGGCCGTCCATCAGCCCCTGGACGGCGGGGACACAAAGGCCACTCCCACCGACCAGAGCACGACGGGCAAGCCACGATATCCAGCCTCAGTCCCCTCCCAAAAAGTCGCTCAAAAAGTTTCGTGCGGGGTCGGGGGGGGGCGGGTGAGTTTGGCTCCCAGAAGAAGGCTCAGCGGCCTGAGAAACACCACGGCCACTCACCCTCCCCCCTTTTCCCTTCCCTTTCCTCCGCCGTGCGGGCGGCTGCAGTACTAAGTTGACGGCGGCAACTCCAGGATGAGGGAGGAGGGAGAAGGGAGGAGGGAGGAGGAGGAGGAGAAGGAGGAGGAGGAGGAGGAGGAAGGGGAGGGATTACGATGATGATCATCATGATGATGATGATGATGATGATGATGATGATGGTGATGATGCTTGTGATGATGATGATGATGATGATGATGATGATGATGATGATGATGATGACGCTGATGATGATGACGCTGATGATGACGGTGATGCTGATGATGATGATGCTGATGGTGGTGATGATGATGCTGATGATGTTGATGCTGATGATGCTGATGATGATGATGATGATGGTGATGATGATGCTGATGCTGGAGATGCGCTTGTTATGATGATGGTAATGATGATGATGATGATGATGATGATGATGGTGATGATGCTTGTGATGATGATGATTGTGATGATGATGATGATGATGACGCTGATGATGATGACGCTGATGATGACGGTGATGCTGATGATGATGATGCTGATGGTGGTGATGATGATGCTGATGCTGATGATGCTGATGATGCTGATGATGATGATGATGGTGATGATGATGCTGATGCTGGAGATGCGCTTGTTATGATGATGGTAATGATGATGATCATATGATGCTGATGATGGTGTTGATGCTGATGATGCTGAATGTGTGGATGATAACGATGATGATCATGATGATGATGTTGACGATTATGATGATGATGCTGCTGATGATGATGACGACGACGACCATTATTATATGAATGATAACGATGGTGATGATGATGAGAATCGTGATGATGATGATGATGATGGTGATGGTGCTGATGATGATGGTGATGCTGATGACGATGATGATGATCAGAATCATCATCATGTTGGTGGCGATGATGGTTATGATGAGGCCGATGATGACGGTGACGCTGATAATGATGCTGACGATGCTGATGCCGATGACGCCGACGATGATGATCAAGACGATGCTGAAGATGATGATCGGAGGTGAGGGGGTGAGATCGAAGTGTAACGGAGAGCCCCCCTACCGGGAAATCGGTTTCGGTTTCGTGTTCGTGCATGCCGTGCGGGCGAGGCGAAGCTGCGTGGGCGGGCGAGAGAAAGTCTCCTGTGGCTGAGGCGCGGCCGGACCAAATGACTCCCTTCCGGGCGGCCGGGGCCCCGCGGTGTCCCGCCGGTGTCCCGCTGGTGTCCCGTGTGGCTGAGGCGCGGCCGGACCAAATGATTCCCTTCCAGGCGGCCGGGGCCCCGCGGTGTCCCGCCAGTGTCCCGCTGGTGTCCCGCGGTGTCCCGCGGTGTCCCGCGGTGTCCGCGGTGTCCCGCGAGGATGATGCTGATGAGATGATGATGGTGATGATGATGATACTGATGATGATGATGATGATGATGATGATGATGATGAAATGATGATGATGATGGTGTCCCGATGAAGATGATGATGTTGATGATGGTGTCGATGATGTTGACAGTGTCCCAATGATGAGGATGATGATGCTCATGATGATTATGTTGATGATGATGACGATGTTGGTGTCCCGATGATGATGATGATGATGATGATTCCGATGATGTTGGTGATGATGCTGTTGATGGAAATGGTGTCCCGGCGATAATGATGTTGATGATGATGATGTTGATGATTATGGTGTCCCGATGATGATGCTGATGATGATGATGGTGATGATAATGGTGATGCTGATGGTGTCCCGATGATGATAATAATGATAATGACGATGTTGATGATGATGTTGCTCATGATGATGATGGTGCTCCAATGATGATGATGATGATGATGTTGTTGATGATGATGTCGATGATGACGATGATGATGCGATGATCATGATGATGATGTCCCGAGGATGATGACGATGTTGATGATGAGAACGATGGTGATCATGATGGTGTCCCGATTATGATGATGATTCTGATGATGCTGGTGATGATGATGACGATGACTGTGTCCCGATCATGATGATGATGTTGATGATGAGATGATGATGGTGATGATGATGATGATGTTGTCCCGATGATGATGCTGACGTTGATGATGATGTTCATGATGATGATGACGGTGCCCTCATGATGATGACGATGTTGGTGATGATGTTGATGTTGGTGTTGATGATGATGATGATGGCGATGATGATGATGATGATGATCATGATGATGATGATGATGATGATGATGATGATGACGTTGATTGTGGGAGCGATTGTGATATCGATAGTGAGATCGATATTGAGACCGAATGTGAGATCGATTGTGTGATCGATTGTGAGATCGATTGTGAGATGAATTGTGAGATCGATCGAATGAGATAGATCGAGTGAGATGGATTGTGAGATCGATCGAGTGAGATCGATCGAGCGAGACCGATAGTGAGATCGATACTGAGATCGATAGTGAGACCGATCGAGTGAGACGTTGGTTCCCCCCCCCGAACCTCCTTATCACCCGAAGGGTGGTCGTATAGGTAATGATGATGGTAAGGATGATGATGATGAGTATGATGATGAGGAGGATGACGATGAGGATGAGGATAACGATGATGATCTTGATGATGATGCTGATGATGCTTATGTTGATGGTTATGATGATGGTGAGGATGATGATGGTGATGATGACGATGCTTATGATGATGAGGATGAGGATGAGGATGATCATCATCATCATCATGATGCTGATGATGTTGAAGATGATTGTTATCATGGTGATGAGGATTATGATTATGATGACGACTGTGGTGGTGGTTGTGGTGGTGATAAGGAGGGGGAGGAGGGAAACAAAAGGAGGAGACAGGGGAAGGAGGAGGGGGAGGAGGGAGCACTCCGAATCGGAATCGGCCCCATCGCGATGCGAAGAGTGACAAGACAACAACAGACCAACCCGAACTACGAGGCATTTCGCTCGGTTCGAGGACCTCCCCTGGTCCTTGGGCCACTGCCCATCATAAAATCTCTGAACGTAGGTGAGCGTTTGTTTTATTCGGCGTTTCGACATTGGGCGGAAAGGTGGGGGGGAGGGGGGGGGTCTGGCTCCAGACCTCTGCTTAGTGCGACTGCTTGCAAGAGTGCTGCCCCTAGGGGAGACTCCACGCGCTCGAAACAGGCGCCCAAAAAACAGCCAAGATCTACTCCAGGGGGGTTGAGGGGAGGTTGGGGGCCCGCGCCGATCGGCAAAACAATGAATAAACAAACGATCACAAGACTCTACGAATGTTAGCGAGCGGCTGATCACAACGCTTAGATAAGGCTGGCCTCAGCTGCTGACTATAGTGAAGGACCTGGACGTCTTACAGCACCAACACTTCAAAGACGCATGAAACACCATTTCGTGGTATTCATGGGGCAGGCTGGACCTAAACGTTGTTTGTCGTTTCGTTTTCGCTGTGTGTGTGTTCGTTTTGCTATGCCTGTTCTTCTGCACATCCCTGCCAAACCAAAAAAAACAAAACACAGCCGAAGTCCAGCAAAATAAAGTTTAGCGCCCTGCAGTGGGGGACTGGCCCCAGACAGCACCATCGTCGCCATCAGCAGTATCATCACCAGCATCATCATCATCACAATCATCATCATCATCATCAGCATCAGCAGCATCATCAGCAGCATCATCAGAATCATCACAACAATCATCAACGCCATCATCATACACATCATCAGCAGCAGCATCATCCTCAGCGCCACCACTAGCACCACCACCACCACCATCATCATCATCATCATCATCATCATCATAATCACCATCAGCATCAGCCTCATCATCATCATACTCATCATCAACATCATCATCGCCATTGTCATGTATAATGCGATTGCTCTCATCATCATCAGCATCACCACCAACACCACGATCATCATCACCATCGTCATCGTAATCATCAACAGTTTAGTCATGAGCAGCAGCATCATCATCATCAGCAGCATCAGCACCAGCAGCGTCATCAGCATCATCATCATCATCCATCATCACTACCAGCAAACACCAACACCAACATCATCATCATCATACTCATAATCATAATCATTATCATCACCACAATAATAACCACCACCATGACCATCATAATCATCATCATCACCATCATCATCATAGTCATCATCACCACCACCGCCATCATTAGCATCGTCATCGTAATCATCATCATCCATGGTGGTATCATCAATGTTGTCACCACCAACAACACCACCAACATGCTCCTCATCATAATCAGCATCACCATCATCATCAACATAATCAGCATCATCATCATCACCATCAGCATCATCGTCGTCATCATCTGGGTCGTCATCATTATCCTCATCAGCTTCATCATCAGCATCAGCATCATCATTATCATCATCATCATCATCATCATCATCATCATCATCATCTGAGTCACTGTCATCATCTGAGTCATCATCATCGCGAGTCTGAGAGAGTGAGGGGAGGGAAAGAGGAGGGAGGTGAGGGAGAGGTCGGCGCGGTCGGAGTAATAACAAGAACCCCATCCTTTGGATATGGTCAATACGGGGAAAAACAAAAAGGAACACACATGATTTGTGCTTCGTGGCCCTCTTGTGGGCAGTCACGGAGGCCTCTTGGAGCGTCTGGGGCGCGGTTTGGGCCGTCTGGGAACCTTCGTGGAGCGCCTTGCGAGCGCGGTGGGCCATCTGGAGGCGACCGCGGGCGTCCGGGAGTGCTTTTCCAGCGACACGCGCGCGACTCGGTGCCTTGTTGGGCGGTCCTGGAAGTGACTTGGGGCGCCCCAGGAGCGCCCCGAGAGCCTCGGGTCGCCTCTTGGGCACCTCTAAGGCCCCGTGAGCCACCCGTGCGCTGTCGAGTCCCCCGCCCCAGGCCCCAAGGCCTCGCAGAGGGGTGTGTATATGAGATGTGTGTGTATATATATATACACAGAGATGGAGAGAGAGAGAGAGAGAGAGAAAAAAAAAAAAAAAAAAAAAAAAAAAAAAAAAGGAGGATGTGTGTGTGCCTGTATGTATGTATGGTTGTATGTACGATGCACGCATGCAAAATATATGTATGTATGTTTGTATGTATGTATGTTTGTATGTTCGTGTATATGTATATGTGTGCACACATGGAAAATATAGGTGTTTATGGATATGTATCATGCACGAAATTATTAACATGTATGTACATGTGTCTGTATATGTATGTGTGTACGTACGTGTATCTATGTATGGTTCTGGATATGTATACGGGTTTGTGAATGTATATTATAAACGCATGAATATGTAAAAGTAACTACATGCACACATGAAAATGTCTAGGTGTATGTGTATGCATGTGCATATGTGTCAACATGGGTGTGTGTATATAGATACAGGTATGTGTACATGTATACGTATAGTATATGAAGATGTACGTGTATATGCCTATGTAAGCATAAATGCATGTGTCGATTCATGTATTTACGGATGTGTCTCTGCATATGCATGTGTATATGATGACGGGTATGTATGTGTACATGTATATGTATATGGGTATGCTGGTATGCGTGCGTCTATGTGTATGTGTATGGGCATGTGTATGTGGATGTGTATAGGTGTGTGTGTACATGTATGCGTATGTGTATGTCCATGTGTATATGCATATGTATATGTATATGCATGGATGGATGGATGCATGTATGTATGCATGTGTGCGTATGTAAATGTAAGTGTATTTACATATACGTGTATGTGCGATGCACATGGATATGTACGTGCACATGTACATGATTGAAGACGTGTAGACGTATGCGTATGTATATGCTTATGCATTCGCAGTTGGCAAATGTAGATGGTTGTGTACATGTATAGTGAACGTTGATGTATATGCGTATACATATAACTATGTAGGTATATATTTGCATGTGTGAATTAAGTGTATGAACATGTATACGTACATGCGTACGTATGTGTACGTGTATGTGGATGTGTAAGTGTATGTGTAGGTGGATGTGGATGTGTATGCACATGTCTAAAATGTATGTATGAATGTGTGTATGTATGTACGTATGCATGCACGTGTGTATACATGAATATATGCATACCTGCATACATGGATGATGAGCCGAGAGGAAGATAGATATCGAGGGCGCAGTAACGAAAGAGAGGTGGATGATACATATGAGAGAACAAGGAAACAGAGAGAGAACATACATATAACAGAGATAGACATACAACAAACACGTAGAGAGAGAGAGAGCGAGAGGTCGATATATATATATACATATATAAATGTGTATATATACACATACACATACATGTAAGAGAAAGAGAGAGAGAGAGAGAGAGCAAGAGAGCAGCAGCAGCAGAAACTGGAACAGAGACGGGCGCCCGTGAGCGAACACGGCAGTCGGCGCCTGGGAGCAAAACTTCTGCGCGTCCTCGAAGCTCTCGACGCCCGAGCCGCCGCACAGCAGAAAGTTGCGATTCGTGATGCGCCTGTCGATGGCCTCCAGGCGCAAAGAGGAGGAGGAGGAGGAGGACGACGACGACGAGGAGGGGGAGGAGGAGGAGGAGGAGGAAGAGGAGGAGGAGGAGAAGGAGGAGGAGGAGAGGGGAAGGAGGAGGAGAGGAGGTGAGGAGGAGTAGGAGGAGAGGAGGAGGAGGGGGGGAAGGAGGAGGATGGATGGACAGGAGGAGGGAGGAGGGGAGCAAAGCAGCAGGGGAGCACGGTGCCACACGCCTGTCTCCCGTGGCCACCCGCTCGAGAGTCGGAAGGGGGCCAGGACTGAAGGGGCCCTGAGACACACAAATAAATACACACAAATAAAAGGATTCCCCAGATTTTCCCATATTTTCTGGGGTTCTGTCTTCCCCCCCACTTCCCATATTCTCGCACATGTTCTGGAAGTCGACGAGTAATGGTGTCTGTGTGCTTCTTCCCCTCCCGAAGGACACCTGCCGAGAGAAGCGGGGCAGCCGAAGCGAGGCGCCGAAGCAAGTCGTCCCCGGCAGCGCGGCCCCACGAGAGAGCCGGACGGCGGCGCCGGAGCGCCGAGGAAGGACGGTGGGATCGTACCCGCCAGCACCCACAATACAGTCGGGGCGCTGAAGGAGAAACCCTTTTCGTTGGGGAGGGGCCCTTTTCGTTGGCGCTGAAGGAGGAGCCCTTTTCGTTTGGGAGGGGCCCTTTTCGTCGGGGAGGGCGCTGAAGGAGGAACCCTTTTCGTTGGGGAGGGGCCCTTTTCGTCGGGGAGGGCGCTGAAGGAGGAACCCTTTTCGTTGGGGAGGAACCCTTTTCGTCGGGGAGGGCGCTGAAGGAGGAAGCCTTTTCGTTGGGGAGGAACCCTTTTCGTCGGGGAGGGCGCTGAAGGAGGAACCCTTTTCGTTGGGGAGGAACCCTTTTCGTCGGGGAGGGCGCTGAAGGAGGAACCCTTTTCGTTGGGGAGGAACCCTTTTCGTCGGGGAGGGCGCTGAAGAAGGAGCCCTTTTCGTTGTTCCACACCTTGCCCAAGGTTTCCCTTCAGCTTTCGATGGGAAGTCGAAGGTCAACTTATGGAAAATAGGGGCCTCGTTCCTTATTTAGGGTTCCTTAGGTCAACGCCTCGACTGTACTCAGCTGGGCTTCTTGGAGCCCGTGAAGAGCATGTGCAGCGCACGGCAGCGACAGCGGGGAGAGGACAAGTGGGCAAGCCAGGGGCTGCGTTGCGTTCCACGCAGCACGGCGACGCCTGCACTCGTGAGGGAGGCCGAACGCCAATCGGAGGAAGGGGAGGGGCGCAAGGAGGAAGATGGTGTGGCCATAGTTTGCTACTAAAGTGAGTGCCAGTGCGAACGAGCGCAACTGTTATGGCTCATTGTCCGCATGCTCGCCACCCCGCTTGATCCACACAACCGCCAAAGACGATGCTGGGTTGACAGACCTGCCCAACTCAACTCTGGGAATGAGGGGTCCCTGGTCTGCGATGTTCTGCAAAGTGGCCAAACATAGGGGAGCAAAAAGTGGCATAAACATAAAAACTCTGAGGTCCGCGCGGATTTCTCGGATCGGCGCTGGACCCCCCCTCCCTGGCGCGCGGAGCGCGCCAGGGGCGGCGCTGGAGGCGCCGCGGGGGGGCCCCAGCGCCGATCCGAGAAATCCGCGCGGACCTCCGAATTGTTATGTTTATGTCACTCTTTGCTCCCCTAGTCCCTGGTCTGCGATGTTCCGCAAACTGGCCAATCGTAGCACGCGCTGTTACCAAACAATCGCGCACGAACTGACTTGCCGTAGGGAGGGGGGGCAGGAGGCAGGGGGGCCGAGGAGGGAGGCAGGAGGCAGGAGGGAGGGAGGGAGGCAGGGAAGCAAGGGAGGAGAGGCGCAGGGGAGCAGGTGAGCAGGGAGGTGGAGGGGAGGAGCGAGGGCTGGAGGGGAAATGCGTGCGCGTGTGCGGCAGCACGTTTGGCTCGGCGCCGTGCGGCCTGGATCCTCTCTGCGCCGTAGAGGCCCGCCACCACGCCAACGTGCAGGGCGTGCTTGGTCTCGTCCTTGGTCGGGCACGTCTTGCCCGGGCCCGTTGGCTGATCAGCCCGCCGCACTCCACATCATTGCCCTCGCCCTCATCTCGCCGCCGCCGCCTCCTCCTCCTGTCCTCATCCTTGTCCTCATCCCCATCCTTGTCCTCCTGCTCCTCATTCTTGTCCTCCTCTCCCCGATTACCCAACCTCATCATGTCCCTCTATTACATTCCCTCTTCCTTCCTCTTCCTCCTCCTCCTCCTCCTCCTCCTCCTCCTCATCATCATCATCATCATCATCATCATCATCATCATCATCATCATCATCATCATCATCATCATCATCATACATCATCATCATCATCATCATCATCATCATACATCATCATCATCATCATCATCATCATCATCATCATCATCATCATCATC